GGATTTCTGGATATCTGTAATGTTCATTTTGGATATCTGAATTTGTAATTTTAAGTAGCAGTAACTCTATTATGAAGATCTGAAATTAGAATTTGTCAGAATTCATTTGTAGATAGGAAGAATGTTATTTTAGATATCTGGAAGTAAAAGCCAAATACACATGAATGGGAAATCATGGAAAAATTGTCATTTGAACTAGTAAGAATTACATTTCAGATATTTGAAATGTATATTTTAGATAGGACAAATTTAATTTTAAATACCAGAAATGTTGATTTTGACAAGGAAGAAATGCATTTGAGACATCGATATCTGATATATATATATATATATATATATATATATATATATATATATATATATATATATATTAGGGGTGGAACGGTTCACAAAATCCACGGTTCGGTTCACGGTTTCGTGGTCACGGTTTTAGGTTCGGTTCGGTATATGTTGATTGTTACACTGAAATCTAGGGCTGCAACTAACGATTATTTTAAAAATCGATGAATCGGCCGATTATTTTTTCGATTAATTGATGAATCGGACAAAAAATATTTTTTATATTTTATATTCTTTATTCCAAAATAAACATTTTAGACAGAACAAACAAGCACACAAGTACAGGTTCCTCATTAACTGTACTGGTGCAATATGAAAAATAAATGTTTATGTTAAAACTACGCAAACTTACATGAGAAATGTAGCTGACATCCACAAAATATAGGGTACTTTGTTTCATAAAGTGCAAAAAAAGACTTTTTTTTTTTTTAAAGCCCCTAAGGGGTTCAAACAATAGCGCCCCCCCCCCCTTTTCAACAAATGAGTTTTTTTTTTTGACTAATAGAGTTCTGCCTTTTAAGACAGGAAAGTATAGCAGTTAAAGTTGCTACTTGAGAAAATACTGAACCATAGAGATAAAAATAGCCCTGTGATTCAAATTATAAATTGTATTTGGAATAAAAATGAGAGAACTAGGGGTGCTAAAAAACACATCCTCCAAAGACAGATATTTACATGGAAATGTGGCATATAATTAATTGACATATTACTGATCTTGCTGGATTTTATTCTGCTTTACTTCCATAAATTGCAGGATCTTCTTTACTTTATCTTTGCCAGAAGATTTAAACTTTAAAAGCCTTGCCCTCATAATTTGCAAGTTAATTTATTTATAAAGTAAATATAAATGCTGCTTAAGCCAATTCAAATGAAATTAAAAGTAAAATAAGTAGCCAACCTTATCACTGTCTGTAACCTACTAACAAGGTAAGGAAAGCATCAGATGAGCTACCTGAGAAACTAACGTTACGTTTCCCCACTTTAAAACAAAACAAACATGGTGGTTCCATGCCATGTTCATTTGTTTTGACAAAAGTTGCATGTTACGACTTTTTTCGCTTTACAAAGCGCAGGCTATTTTAATTATTGTGATCAATTTGCGCCGTCAATCCCGGTGCATGCGCGCTTCATTTGCAGTCTGGACGCTGAGGGTAAACATCCTGCTGGCTCTGACTGCAGCGCTGCCTGCGGGAGCGGGGGAAGGCGCCCCACGACAGAGTAGGATTGATACATGCTTTCAGGTAAGAGTCTCCAAAAGCCGCCAGTGACACCGTAAAAAGTCGGCAGATTTGTCGCAAGTCGCTTTTTTGAAAAATAGTCGCTGGAGGGGTCTGAAAAGTCGCTGAGTTGGCAACACTGCACCTGCAGCGCTGGCTCGCTCTGCCGTATTTTTTCTTCTTCCCCCGCTTCAGTCAAGTGGATGTGATGGCGGCGGATGACGCATTAATCGCGCGACACAACTAACCGATGATGAAATTCGTTGCCAACGCTTTTAAAAGTCGATTTTTATCGATTCGTTGTTGCAGCCCTACCGAAATCCCATAAAAATTTATGAAATTAATGAAAAAATCCCAAAAAATTAATGAATTGTAACTATTTTTAATGATCCGTGGAAACCCTGTTTCATTTCCACATGTTTTGCTGCTTTGAATTTAATCATCTCGTGCATGCCCTTTACGATCTCTAAGGAACTCAGAGCGGAGCGAACGGGAGCCACAGTGGAGGCTGTATGCTTTGCTTTTTGCAGGCGGTCTGGTGCGCAGCGGATTGCTGACGGAGTATGTGGGATTTCGGGGTTAGCATGACATGTTGGTCATGTTGCTGTTAGCATAAACAAAACGTGTTGCACACTGTTGCACTTTAATCCATAACTTTCTTTCCGCCGTCATTGTAGGTCACTCTAAATGCAAAGTGGTCCCATACAGCAGACCTATAAAGTGCTGCTGGCGTGTCTTCCAACTCCTGTTCTTTCCCACTCACCATACCCACGCAAAACTCCACAACAACTGATTTTTTTTCTGCTTCACCCGGCTACGCTGCTTCGCTTCTTCTTCTTGTTTACTACTGGTGGTTGGCTGTGGTCGCAGTATTGCCACCTTCTGCTCTGGAGTGTAAACGCTTCGCCTATGAGAAAAAGGAGCAGCGCATCAACCGAACGCAACACACGCTAATCGAACCAAGACAGTCGAACCGAACGGTTCAGACGGTTTTCATAAACTTTGCATTTAGAGTAGGGATGCACGATATTGGGATTTTGGCCGATATCCGATATGCCGATATTTTAAAACTCATGTAGCCGATATCCGATATCGATACTAATGTTAAAGCTGGACAAAAATAAGTAGTCATTGAAAATACCATTTCTGAAAATACCATTTCTGACACTTTGAAAAATTATATATTCAAATATACACTATATTGCCAAAAGTATTTGCTCACCTGCCTTGACTCACATATGAGCTTAAGTGACATCCCGTTCCTAATCCATAGGGTTCAATATGACGTCGGTCCACCCTTTGCAGCTAGAACAGCTTCAACTCTTCTGGGAAGGCTGTCCACAAGGTTTAGGAGTGTGTTTATGGGAATTTTTGACCATTCTTCCAGAAGCGCATTTGTGAGGTCGCACACTGATGTTGGACGAGAAGGCCTGGCTCTCAGTCTCCGCTCTAATTCATCCCAAAGGTGTTCTATCGGGTTGAGGTCAGGACTCTGTGCAGGCCAGTCAAGTTCATCCACACCAGACTCTGTCATCCATGTCTTTATGGACCTTGCTTTGTGCACTGGTGCACAGTCATGTTGGAAGAGGAAGGGGCCAGCTCCAAACTGTTCCCACAAAGTTGGGAGCATGGAATTGTCCAAAATGTCTTGGTATGCTGAAGCATTCAGAGTTCCTTTCACTGGAACTAAGGGGCCAAGCCCAGCTCCTGAAAAACAACCTCACACCATAATCCCCCCTCCACCAAACTTTACACTTGGCACAATGCAGTCAGACAAGTACCGTTCTCCTGGCAACCGCCAAACCCAGACCCGTCCATCAGATTGCCAGATGGAGAAGCGCGATTCGTCACTCCAGAGAACGCGTCTCCACTGCTCTAGAGTCCAGTGGCGGCGTGCTTTACACCACCGCATCCGACGCTTTGCATTGCACTTGGTGATGTATGGCTTGGATGCAGCTGCTCGACAAAGAAACCCATTCCATGAAGCTCTCTGCGCACTGTTCTTGAGCTAATCTGAAGGCCACATGAAGTTTGGAGGTCTGTAGTGATTGACTCTGCAGAAAGTTGGCGACCTCTTCGCACTATGCGCGTCAGCATCCGCTGACCCCGCTCCGTCAGTTTACGTGGCCTACCACTTCGTGGCTGAGTTGCTGTCGTTCCCAAACACTTCCATTTTCTTATAATACAGCTGACAGTTGACTGTGGAATATTTAGGAGCGAGGAAATTTCACGACTGGATTTGTTGCACAGGTGGCATCCTATCACAGTTCCACGCTGGAATTCACTGAGCTCCTGAGAGCGACCCATTCTTTCACAAATGTTTGTAAAAACAGTCTGCATGCCTAGGTGCTTGAATTTATACACCTGTGGCCATGGAAGTGATTGGAACACCTGATTCCAATAATTTGGATGGGTGAGCAAATACTTTTGGCAATATAGTGTATTTTCATATGCTGATATCAAATTGATTTTTAAAAACACGGTATCGATATATTTTACTTTCAAAATATCGCGAAATTTCATCGTTCTGTTACAAACTCTCGTGATATTTTGCAAATTCTTGTGAGATTTTGTTAGTAAAATAGATCGATAACGCGTCAATATATCAACATATAAAAATATGGCAGAATTTCCTGAATTTTCGGAGGATTTCGTAGCATAACGATGACATATAGCAATATTTAATTAGTAAAAGAGATTGATATGGTGTTTTTAAATGGCAATATATCAGCATATGAAGATATTGTGATATTTTAATGTATCAATATTTTTTCCCTCGTCTTTAGAATTTCTTAAGTCTGTAAAAAAATAAGTTTTTGAGGAAGAAGAAGAAGTAGTATATATTTTTTTTTTAGACTTTAGAAACTCAGAAGCTGATCAAGTATCGGGTTAAATATCGGTGGGGTGGCCGATGTCCGATATTCAGTTTTAAGGCCGATACCGATAGGGGGCCGATTATATCATGCATCCCTAATTTAGAGTGACCTACGATGACGGCGGAAAGAAAGTTGTGGATTAAAGTGCAACAGTGTGCAAGCATTGTGCAACACGTTTTGTTTATGCTAACAGCAACATGACCAACATGTCATGCTAACCCCGAAATCCCACATACTCCGTCAGCGCTCCGCTCCGCCCTGCTGCGCACCAGACCGCCTGCAAAAAGCAAAGCATACAGCCTCCGCTGTGGCTCCCGTCCGCTCCGCTCTGAGTTCCTTGGAGATCGTAGAGAGCATGCGCGAGATGATTACGTTCAAAGCAGCAAAACATGCGGAAATTATCCATTGATCATTAAAAATAATTACAATTCATAAACATTTTTTTCATTAATTTTTATAATTTTTATTAATTTTTTTTTTATTTTTTGGTGTAACAATAAACATGTACTGAACCGAACCAAAAACCGTGAGCAGAAACCGTGAACCGAACCGTGGATTTTGTGAACCGTTCCACCCCTAGTAGGATCCCATTTCTGGTGCAGATTGGGCAGAGACGACTGATAAAACTGAAAGGATTTTAAGGCATTTATTTTCTCAGAAAATTGCCCATCATTAAGCACTTTTTAACATTATTACTATATTTCTGGGCATCTCTATTAAGACAAACGTATTAAACGGTAAGGGCTGCCAATTATGACCAACTCTTTGAGTGAGATTTAAAGATAGTTTGAACAGGCAAACCTTGTCAGTGATCGATTGACAGGCAATAAGGATAAACATAGGTTGTAGATTTTTTTCAGGATTTAACTGAAACAAAGCACTGTACATTTTACTGAATAACAATACGTAATCTGTAGTTATGTGGAAAATTTTTCATACAATACACATTATTTTCTATATTTCAGAGAGTTGAAGTAATACAATTGCATCTTAAATATACTGTATACTAAGAATTTCACGACAATGTTTAATAAAGGAATGGAGGATTAGCTTCTATTTCTGTGTATATCATCTAAATAAGTGGTTCTCCAATTTTCAAACATTCTGTTGATATGCTTACGTAATGCAGTCCTACATGCTTGTCCCGTTAGCTGTCTTTTTCTGCACATATGTACTGCCAGGCATATATCTGTGGTAGGGCTGGGTATTGTTCAAAAATTTTCGATACCGGTACCAATACCCATACCTTCACTTCGATACCGGTTCCTGAACGAAACTTTTTTCGATACCAGTTTTATAATATCAATTCGAAGAAAAAGAAAATTGCACAACATAATAAAGTTCAAATCTTGAGTTTTATGTTTAGCTCAGATTTTTCCATTCAAAGTACTACTCTCATATAAAAAAAATGTTTCAAGTGAAAAAAAACATTTGGAAACCAGTCAGTGTCTAATGCTCACTGTTAAATTCTTAGCAGTTCTTCTTCAGAAAGATTAACATGTCTGCTTTCTCAGGAGACAAACAAGCCCGCTCCTGGCTGATGGTGTCTCCAGCAGTAGAAAATGTACGCTCTGAGGGTGTGGATGATGCTTGCACACAGAGATACCTGGTTGCCAAGTTTGATAGCATTGGCATAGTGTCCCTCACATTCCACCACCAGGTCACTGCATTCACAGAAGTTAGGGTAGACGGTAGACCTCTGTACTTCTGGATCTCCTCTTGAATCTTGTCTGTGTTGCTAGAACTGTTCTCTTGTCTCATTTCAACTGCCATGTCTTCATCAGCAAATAGCTCCTCAAGAGCAGAGAGCTTTGGCTTTTTCTGTCAACAAAAATAATAGAATAGATAGCAATTTAATTTTGTTATATAACATTAAGTAATGTGGGGAAATGGGATGTCTTTGTATTGCTTTATTTTACCAGTGGTCCTACTGCAGCTCCACAGTCTTCATCAGAGGAGTTGTCATCACGGTGACCAGCTGTCCCCTCAACCTCCTGCTTCATCTGCTGGGCCTAGAAAAATACAATTTCATTCAGTGTTCAATAGATTATAATAGGAGTCATATAAACAGACCTACATTTGAAGTCGAATAAAAATTATCAATCAGAAAAAACAAACACCTGTTGTGAGGTTCTACTCATGAGCTCCTCTTCTATTCTGGTCCACACTTCTTCGCCTAGTTTCATCTTGAATCTCGGGTCTAAGGCTGTGCCCTCCTCCAAGAACTGCCTGATTCTCTCATCCTGCAAAACAAAAGCAGAAATGTATGTTAGTAGTCATGATGTCTGAGTATAGTAAACCTAAAGAAAAAAATATGCAACATACTTGGTATCTTTTTGAGAGGTCCCCCCAGATCTTTTCCTTGATAGCTTGTGTGAAGGAGGAGTCATCATCAGTAACTGCGAAGTGATGCTGGAGCTTCCCCAAAATGGGCAGAATCTGGCCCAAAGTTGGACTCCTTTCAGCAGAGATGCAGACAGTTGAAGTATATAGTATCTTCATAACTCTGACAAATTGTTCTGCTTTTCTAAAATCCTCATCAGAAAGTCTCTCCAGTCTGAAAGGAAATATACACATTGTTGTATTAGTTAGAGCAAAGCCCAGCACATTGGTTGGTTTGATAAAAGAATAAGGTAATCCCACAATCTATCCTCATCTACAATACCTGTCCTTCTCCATTGATTTTTTTAACCGAGGGTCCATGGAGGCTGCCTGGATAGCAGGAAACTGCTCCAGAAATCGCTCCACCATCAGGAACAGGCTATTCCACCTGTTCTTCACATCTAAAATGACAGCATGTTCTGGAAGACCTAAAGAAAGATGGTGTGTGTGGTTTACAAACAGGTTGTGTATTTGCTGTAATAGTTGAATGATTGACTTAGCCATATCATTTTGAAACTAAGTTTAGTCCACTTTGATTTCTACTAACCAAGAAGATGCTGCTTCTCTTTAAGGATAGGTTTGGCCAAGCTGCACCATTTTAACCACACCACTGTAGCTCGGATTCTTCCTGCCCACTTTGAGATTACTGGTATAGTATACAGCTTTTGAGCAGCAATGTTTAGAGTATGAGCAAAACATGCAATCTTTCTAATGTTCATTTTTTTCACTGCTACATCCATATTAGCTGCATTGTCTACAGTGATCGCAACAACTTTATGCTTTATATTGAATTCTTCAAGAATATCCCCTATCTCCTCGGCTATTACATTCCCTGTCTGTGATGTGTAGACTGCCCTGGTATGCAGGATTTTCTCCTTCATGGCCCCCTCTCTCACAAAGTGGACTGAAACCGTCAAGTAATGGTCTTGTGCCAAACTGGTCCATCTATCCGCGGTCACAGCCACATCTCTGACGTCTTGCAATTCTTTCTTGACATTTTCCTTCTCTACTGCATACCATGCTGGTATGAGTGTATTTGACAGCATGTCTTTGCTGGGGGACTGGTATCTGGGGTTAAGGGCTGTTATCATCTCCCTAATTGACATTCACAATATAATACACAAAACATCAACAATAACATTGCTGTGTAACTTTTGTTTAAAAAAAAAAACATGATATCTAGGCTAAGAGAGATAAAGGCTAAACTGGTCAAATATATAACATAAAGCTTACTTACCTCCACCATGGAGCCTCCACTATAGAAAAAGGCAGCAAACCTTTAACAACAAAGTTTGTGACTGCCCTGTGACACTGATCTTGTTTTTCTTTTGGCATCTTTGCCTTTTCTGCAAGTGTGAATGGATTTATGCTGACTGGCTTTTTCCTCCTCACATCAGAGGCTACTGTGAGGAGAATATAAAAATAACAGTGAAGATAAGGTTAGCTGTGTAACCAACCAGCTGACCCAATGGATAAGCATATTTTTACAAACATGGACAAAGTAAATGTTAATGTTAGCTTTTGATTTAGCTAGCTAATGCAAAGCTAAGGCTACACGCTAACTCGGCACAATGCACCTTATAAGTTGCAGTAACGCTAATAAATAATCTTAAACTTGCCTGGTGAAATCCCAGACACAGTGCCGTCCTCGGTACTCTTTGATGAGGCGGAGTCCAGTGGTGGATATTTTTGAATCACTCTGAGTCGGCTCAGGTTTTGCGCTGCTCACTGGCTGCTGAGAGGAGGAGGGCTGCTGAAAGGAGGAGGGCTGCTCTGGCTGCAGTCCGCTCCTCTTGCAGTCAAACACTGTACAAGCTTCGGCTCTTAAATTGATTCCGTGGACTATCGGGTGCTTCATCAAATTAGTCGTGTTGCCAGACTTAACAACAACGTCTTTTTTGCATATATTGCATTTCACACTGTTGGCATCAATTTTAATGAAGTGAAGCCACACTTTTGATCTAGGTGGCATTTTTAAGCAGTACAATTATGCTCGCGACGAGTTCAAAACAGATACACAAGTGAACCCCCTCTGTCGGCGTAACCACGTATGTGCTTTTCCTGGGTGACGCAATCACGTTTAACTTTACAGCCAATCACCATAACTTGGTACCGAAAGACGAGGCATGTTTCAATACTCGGTAGAACCGAAGCATTTCGGTCGGTACCATAAAAGAACCGAAGTTCGGTACCCAGCCCTAATCTGTGGTGAGCTACGGTTTCCGATAGTCTCACCTGTCTCACCACGGTTCTTTGAAAATGGCAGAGGGTCTTAAGAGAAAGTGTATGAGAAGAAAAGAAAGACCTCAGAAGAGGCAGATATATCCCTGAATATGTAGCGCAGAGAGTTGTACTAAATGAAAAACATTTTTGCATACATTTTGTGTGTATAAAATGACAATAAAAGTTGTCTAAGTATCACACTATTAGTCTTTGCACGTCGTGGGGTGTCCGGAGGAGGATCATTTAGACATGTAGCCTCTCTGAAAGTCTTATTTCTTGCATTTTGAGGTTGAACGCAGTTAACTTTATGTCTTTGTTAAAACACCACCTTTGCCCTGATTATGAGAAGGATGTGTGCTTGGCTAGAAGGGTTAATTTCATAAGAAAGGCATGAGATCATTTTAAGGTACATATATTTCATTGGTTAATTCAAACAATCAGAAAGTGTAATGCCTTTCACTGAGAATCCAGAATTCGCCTCTTGGGTGTTTTCCCATGTTGTTTGTGGAAGCTGGAAGTAGATGTTTGCGTTTTTCAGGTATTTTGTACAAACTGCAGGCACCAGAATAATAAAAGCAAACATATATTGCTGGGAGATTTTGACATTTTGTGTTAATTTAGGCATTAATAAACAGTTTCAGTGGAGCATGGTGCATGGTGGAACAGAAGTAGCACTGCCTGTGAAAGGACTTCCAACCACAAATGTATATATGTCTAGACAAACTGTTAGAAACTGACTCCATTGAGTTGTGTGAGGTCCCAAAGTACACAGATGGGGGTTGTGCTCACAGGACAACAATGCGCAAGACACTTAGCATTTGCCAGAGGGCACCAAGAATGGCAAATTCCCCACTTGCAATCTGTGCTCTTCATAGATGAAAGGAGGTTCAAACCTTGCATGTGACAGGCCGGAGACACTGTGGAGAGCGATCTGCTGCCTGAAACATCCTTTAGCATAACTGGGGAGGGGGCTGCCACTTTGCCAGACAACAGTGAAGCATGGCTGGTCTTTTATAACCTGTGATTTTGATGTCAGAGCTTCAGTTCATGCTGTGAGATGTAGTTCCAATCTGTTTATATGTAGTTAGATCAACACAAGGATGATTAAAGTGAATTGTCATTTCTTTAACCTACAATAGAACATCTTTCTGTTGTTTGTCTTTCTAGACCACCTGCAGGATTATGTTGGAAATGAGGAGGCTTTCTCTGATCAGCAGCTCTGTAAACAGGAGAGAGATTCCAGTTTGGACCAAGAGGAACCAGAACCTCTGCAGATAAAAGATGAGCAGCAAACGGCAGAACATCCCTGGACAAAAGAGGAAACCATTGAGCTGCCAATAAGTGAACTTGAAGAGCACCCTGTTCTGAAGCAGGAGACTGGTGATACAGGAGAGGCACTTTTCCCATATTTGACAGATGGAGAAAACTCTCTAAAAAAAGAACATTTAATGGTTCACATGAAAACGTACACAGGTCAGAAGAATTATGAATGTCTGTCCTACAGAATGAGCTTCCCCTTTGAATCTTCTCATAAACGCATCAGAATACATAAAGGTGAGAAGCCATTTTCATGTACTATATGTGGCAAAAGCTTTACTCTTAAAAGTCTTTTGCTTTCTCACAACAGAATCCACACAGGCGAAAAACCATTTTCTTGTAAGACCTGTGGAAAAAGCTTCACTAAAAAATCTAATCTTAATAAACATATCAGAATTCACAAAGGTGAGAAGCCTTTCCTCTGTAAGATTTGTAGAAAAAGTTTTACTGTAAAACGTAGTTTGATTAGACACATTAGAACTCATACAGGTGAGAAGCCTTTCAAATGCCTGTCTTGTGGAAAGAGCTTCACCTTTGAGTCTGTTCTTGATAAACACAACAGAATTCACACAGGGGAGAAGCCTTTCCCATGTACAATTTGTGGCAAAAGTTTTGTTGTAAAAAGTAATTTGACTTCTCACATGAGAACTCACTCTGGTGAAAAGCCTTTTGAATGCCGGTCCTGTGGAAACAGTTTCACTCAGAAATCTCATCTTGATAGACACATTAGAATTCACACAGGTGAGAAACCATTCTCCTGTACGATTTGTGGCAAAAGTTTTACTAGAAAAAGTAATTTAATTAGTCATATTACGACTCATGTGAGAAACATTTTTCATCCATGAAAAGTGAAACTATCTCTAAAGAGAAATTTAGCCTTTTATTACCGTATTTTCACGACCATAAGGCGCACCGTACTAAAAGGCGCAGTCTCAGTTATGTGTGCCATTTCTGTATTTAACACACACATAAGGTGCAACGGACTATAGGGCGCGGGTTTTATATACCGGTACATGTCCTCTACTACCTTTAAATACCTCTACTGTGTATTTAAAAATACAGCGGGAGCAAAACTAAGTATGACTGTGCTTTATTCATTTATTTATTACAAAGTATTAATCAAACCTGGGAGCTGGCCGTGAGACAGACACATTGCTGATGACAGAGCGCTGTGATCACTCCTAAATTAACTTAAAATCCTGAAACCTGCCGACGGAATATGCTCGCTTTTATTACCGGTATCCTGGTGCCTGCAGTTTAGATTATTTAGATGAAAAACACCTGCCAGCTGCCGCGGTTAACCCGGAGGCTACCCGGCCCAGAGGCTGCTGTTGAAGGGATTTCTAGTGTCGGTGTACCGCTGGTATGTGGGGGGTCTGAGTGCCTCCAACAGAAATAGTATAGGCAGGATGATAATCTGGATGAACTGACTGCAATTATTAAGTCAAAGTTCAGGTAGACTTTCTCACTTAAAACATATTAAAACTACTTTATTCCCACTGATCACAGCAAATATAGCTGCAAGATTTAGATTATTTAGATGAAAAAACACCTGCCAGCCGCCGCGGTGAAACCGGAGGTGGCCCGGCCCAGAGGCTGCTGTTGAATTAAGTTTTCAGGTGGAAAAATAGAGTGGGAGCAAAACTGAGTATGATTGTGCTTTATTCATGTATTTATTACAAAGTATTAATCAAACCCATCAAAGTCATCGTCCTGTGTTCCTGAATTAAACAGCTGCGCTAAATCAGACATGCCAATTTCCCCTTCTTCGCTGTCAGAGTCACTTTCCGTGCCGGGCGGCTCCTCAGAAATAATGCCGGCTTTTGCGAAAGCTTGAACAACAGAGCCAGCAGACACGTTAGTCCAAGCATCAACAATCCATCCGCAAATGGTGGCGTAACTGGCGCTGCCTTCCACTTTTCGTGAAACTGTGGTGTCCGTCTGTCATCCATCGCTCCCACGCCGCTCGCAGCCTTACTTTGAACGGCCGCTTCACACCGATGTCGAGCGGTTGAAGTTCCTTTGTCAGACCTTCCGGGATAACGACGAGCACAGCGTTCATTTGATTCACCATGTTTTTCACATCGGCAGTGAGATGGGCACGCATGGAGTCACAGATTAACAGCAATGGTGATGCGTGGAAAAAAACACCTGGTCTCCTCACATACACCTGCCTCAGCCACGCTTTCATCATCTCCTCATCCATCCAGCCCTTTTCATTTGCCTTAATATCATTTGTCATCGGAGCGATGTGTCGTCTCACAGCCAGCTCCCAGATCAGCTTCTCTGATTGGTTGATGCGGTGCTTCCAGCAGCAAAACTTCAATTTTTCCATCTCGAGCAGCAGCAGCGCATTGGCGGCGTGTCAGATAAACGCTCCCGACGCGCTGCGCCTGCTGCTCAAAACGCGCTGCGGGACCTTTTGCTGCGCCTATACGCGCGTCAACCATTGACTTTGCATGTAAACTCGCTGCTTCTGCTGCGTCCGATTCACACCGATGTCAAGCGGTTGAATAACAGTGAGCACAGCATTCATTTGTTTCACCATGTTTTTCACATCGGCAGTGAGATGGGCACGCATGGAGTCACAGATTAACAGCAATGGTGATGCGTGGAAAAAAACACCTGGTCTCCTCACATACACCTGCCTCAGCCACGCTTTCATCATCTCCTCATCCATCCAGCCCTTTTCATTTGCCTTAATATCATTTGTCATCGGAGCGATGTGTCGTCTCACAGCCAGCTCCCAGATCAGCTTCTCTGATTGGTTGATGCGGTGCTTCCAGCAGCAAAACTTCAATTTTTCCATCTCGAGCAGCAGCAGCGCATTGGCGGCGTGTCAGATAAACGCTCCCGACGCGCTGCGCCTGCTGCTCAAAACGCGCTGCGGGACCTTTTGCTGCGCCTATACGCGCGTCAACCATTGACTTTGCATGTAAACTCGCTGCTTCTGCTGCGTCCGATTCACACCGATGTCAAGCGGTTGAATAACAGTGAGCACAGCATTCATTTGTTTCACCATGTTTTTCTCATCAGCTGTGAGATGGGCACGCATGGAGTTACAGATTAACAGCGATGGTGATGAGTGGAAAAAAAACCACCTGGTCTCCTTACATTCACCTACCTCAGCCACTCCTTCATCATCTTCTTAATGAGGTGGTCTCAAAAGTCGCAGTTA